CTTTTCTACTATTATTAGACACCACAGACTACGGTGAAAGAAAACACCGTGAGGAAACTTTTTTTCATGTGATTTGGCGGCGAACGGGGATACGAATCAACTGATGATTAATTACCCATTGACACCATCAACACCAAAAAGAGTTACGAGGGCATTTCGGGGATAAGAATTTTTAAGATTTGGATATAGGAGAAGGAGGGGTTGGGCCTCCGGGAACGTAAATCACAAGGCGTATACTATTTAATAAAATGTATATTACATTTCGATCATTCTTGAATTTTCGTTCAGAGTTTCGATTTGGGTGCATGAGTGACAATTTAAAAAAAAAAATTAGATGTGATGTGAATTAATGAGTCATAAACACATTAATTTTATAAAATGCATGCGATGCAATGCAAACAGTCAGTTATGCTATAGCACTATACATAAATGTGGGAGAGCCATGCTTCGGCACGAATGGGTCGGCTCGACCGTAGTGATAAAACGGCCCCACATAAAAACGGCGTGAAGCAACACTTACGTTGTGTTTCGCCGTGTAGGTAAGGTTACCGGAACCGGAAACCCAACCCTTTCCCCTCCCCCAATTCCTATTCCCCAAAAAGTCGGCAACGTAACTCCTCTATTGTTGCTCACCACTATCAGGTAATCCGTCTGCTCGTTTGCAGACTTATTACATGAAAAAAGGGTAAACACGCTCACTTAGAAAAAAGTAAAAATTTATGAAAAGAGGTCAAAATAAAAACAAGAGGGCACCGTAAGCGCGGGTCTGCGGACGGCGAGTAAGGGTTGCTCGCCGCCCGACCAGATCCAGACCCGAGCGGACGGCGCGTAGCGTTCCGCGCTTAGCCCAAAGAGCCAATAGACCACCACAGACGAGGCCCTATAGGGCTGATGTTCAGCCGGGGTTGCGGTTTAAGAGCAATGAGTCACCGCGGCCTCGGCCCAGAGTAGGACAAGGAACGGGGGTTTTTAGTCAGTAAGAGTCTGACACTCTCTCTCGCCTTCCCTGGGCCGGAGAGGTTTTGATGATTTTCCCCTGACAAAAAAGCCTTAAAAAATCTATATTTTCTACGAAACTTCTTATCATCATAAATATCAAACGGATTTTTTCTGATTTTGTATGTTTTAACATTTCTCTTAATTTGTTCAACTTCTTCTATTGCTCTAATTTTTATTGTATAATATAGGAAAATCTCCAAAAATATCTAATAAAGAATGCAATCGGCCAATGAATTTGAGGTTATACCAGACTTATACTAGGGTGGCGCCTGGAATAACATTAGTTAGAACAGTTACGCCGATGTAATGCTCGGTTCAAGTTATTCCGCGTTGATTAGTAGATTATTTGCTTATTCTTAGTTTATTCTCGGTATAATATTTTATACCACGTTTATTTGTACCAATATAAAGGAATTAGATATAGTAGATATAAAAAGTTTTTTACATAATCTTTGCAAACTGAGACGATGACATGATGGAACGCAATCTTATTGTAACCTGTAAGTATATTATTATTTTTGTGAATTGTCCCATAGGACAATTGTATATAATTGGTGTGTAAAACATTATAGTTAGTAAACAAATAATTTGTTATGACTGCACAGTCAGAAAAAAGGTATGAGCCTACATAGTCTTGTTTCGTGTCTTGATGTAAGTGCATGTGAATTTGTATGTTAGCTAACATTATGCATAATGCATACATAACACTGGTGGAAGCAGAAAATATTAGTATTCACATTACTATACTTGTGTGTGTAAACACATATGTATATTTACCAAAGTAAAATTGGATAGTTTCCAATATGAATGCAACTCTTTCATCCGACAAAATGTTTGACACAGTGGCCTATATTAAATAACAATCAAAACTTTTTTCTTTATATCTATCTAATACCATTAAAAAGCGATTCATTTTGTTTCGAAGGATTTTGGGGATGTAATCAAAATCTAATTAGGCTACATAATCAGTAAACAACACCCAATCCAGATACTGTAACCTGTTAAAAAAATAAGTAAAAGATAACAGTTATTAATTTTAAATTGCAATAGTATTAGAAGAACTGTTTAAAAGTTCTGAAACCAATGAAAAGCGTATTTTCTTTTAGTGAGTACAATTGTGTACTGCTTATTACGAGATAAAATGCAAGATGTTTTCTTGCATTACCATCAGAGTATTCGGACCAGCACCCTAAATATTCTTGAGATCACTTTTACAGTCGTAACAACTAAACTAATAAGTTTATCTTTATAAAGTGACAATAGTTAAGTAATTTAAATTAATATTTCTACCTTCCATTTAATAACGTCAAATGTCAAACTGCCACCAAAATCCAATCATTTAAAGGATATGGCTACAAAATAGTCCGCTTAGAATAGTAAGCTGAGAAGCACAATGAATATTAATTAACTTAATAGCATAGTGAACTTGTACATAAAGTCAGTCTCTATTACTTATTTATACATTGATGTTTGTTTAAATACTGCTATGAACAACATTTCATTCAGAATAATGTGATACCACACATTCCTAGTAATTTTGATTTACTACAACTTGTAATAGATTGCATTTATGAATTGGAGCATCAAATTTATTATATTTAGTAGTCCTCATATTATAATCATCTATGACCTGCCAAATATACCAATTTATTATGAGAGTCTCAACAAAGCTTTCTGCAGTAATAAAAATGGTGGACAAAATTTATAAGATTAAGGCAGCAATTTATAAAGCCAGTGAGGTTGGATGTGGTATTTATTGTAGTTGTTTACTTTAGCGATAAAATTGCTAAAAATATTCATTGATGCAATCTGTTACAATGTACTGTATGAACACTGTACTTACTTTTCTTTTTCGATGACAATGGTCTTGTCGCCCCAGCCGCGGCGCGCTAGGTGGTACGCCACGGCAGCTCCCATCATCCCTCCGCCACATATCACCACTTTAGCCTTAGGAGGCAACGCTGACAAACAACCCTCTAGCCGTTCCTCATAATCGAGAGCATCTAAGCGGCTTGAAAAATCCCTTGACACTATACCTATACATTTATGTGCATTGTACCGCCCCGACCCCCAAATCCGTTTTATTAACATCGTATGTACTATTTACGCACATGTAAAAGCAAAAAAATAAGAAACTGAATTTATACTCAGTACATTATAAAAAGAATATGCACCGGGGCTTAAAATAATCTAAAAATAATCAAGGGATACGAGAGGACATAATGTTTGTTTTGACGTAAATTTGACAGACGACTTCTCCGACCCTTGACTCTCTGACTGATTTTTAGTGTTGCTATTGCAAATATAAAAATAGCAATAACTTCAACGACATTAAGTTAAAACCAAACATGATAGGTAACAAGAATTATTATAAATAAGCAAATCTCACTCCCTCACATTTAATAAAACCGTAAAATAATTTTTGTATAGTATTAATACCTTTAATCTCACACCTCCCTTTTAGCTACCTCTACAACATCGGTCAACTTTGTTTCTGTAGGATACTGACCGATCGACCGATCCGACTTATCGACGTTCTTGACTCTATCACAAAATCATTAATAACTTTTTTTACCTTTTGTCAGTATGTATAATTAGCAGTATATTATAATTTAATTAGCCAAAGACTTTTATTTTGTCATAAGCTGGCAGACGAGCAGACGGATTACCTGACGCTCGTAGTACCAAAGAAGTTACTACAAGTGCTTTGCCGGTCACTTGTGGGTTTTTGGGGATTGAAGATTGATGATGGCGGGGGGAGGATTAGGCCCCCAGTAACCTCACTCACAATGCGAAACACAACGAAAGTGTTGCTTCACGCCGGCTTTCTGTGAGTCTCTGTAAATATCTTAAGGACTTATGTTTCTGGAGTTTTACTTTGGCACTCAGTAGCTGCATTGAATCCTGCATTAATGACTGGTCTAATAGAAGAGGATCCTTTCCTATCGTGTAAGGAAGACCCTATCTAAATACCTGCTTTTCCAGAAACGGCGTTCATAAAAGTGGACGCGGATAAGCCCGCAATGGTCTAATCAACCCTAAGCCTAACCGATTACAAAGTGTGGATGATAATAATTTTAATACCAAATCCTAAAAACAACCGGATTAATGGGGGATTGATCTACATATATTATATTTTCCATTTTGCTTTTCAGAACCGTGATACCTCATTGTGACAGGTCGGTAAACGAACAGACGGATCACCTGATGGTAAGCATTGGGGTTTTGGGGATTTAGGGATTAGGGGAGGGAAAGGATTGGGGTCCCGGTAACCTCACTCACACGGCGAAATACAAGGCTGTGTTTGTTTCACGCCAGTTTTTTTTGGGCCACCACCAGACTTTGACTATTTAAGATATTAATCCGGTGGTCCCCAATCTAGCTCTTACCGTATAATCTGCAATCTGAAGAAGCAAATGTGGCAATGCCGAAATATTGACGCTAGATGGGTCAAGAAACTACTGGTGCGACTGTGGATTCCACAGATTCGGTCTAAATTGGCAGTAAAGATGTAACACGTGCACCCTGTCCCGTGGTGTAGATTGCCCAAATAGGTAAGCAGAGTCAGTAGACAACTAAAAGAAATTTTTCGCTTAACAGCGAAGGTTGTCCGTCTGACGATTATAATGATGATTGTCAATAGATTGTGGGAGAGCCATGCTTCGGCACGAATGGACCGGCTCAACAAGGCGTGATACCGCATTGAAACAACCACAGCGCTGTTTTTTGCCTCTTGATTGAGGGTCCCGGAAGCTCCAAGCCTGCGTCCTGTGTTAAATCGATGAATATACTTGCTAGTACAAGTTTTGTCTTGTGGTACCAGTCAGTACCATAGATTCATAGATAGTAGATTCAACGAATATGGGGGACCAGAACGTAGATTTAAAAACAAAGATTGTTATTTTAGTTTCCATAGCGACCGATGGGTGCGAACCTGATATAGTTTTGTAATTTTTTGAATTTATTATTTATAGTCAAACGTGAGGTTGCCTGCTTAGAATATGTCGTTGGTTGAAATAACAGAGCACGATGAAGTGATCTACACTATTTTGGACAAACCGCCTCCAGAGCCACCGAAAACACCTAGGTAGGTTGTAATCCAGTCGTGAATTTCATAATACGGTATTTATAGACTTGCGTAGGTAGAAAGATGGGTTAGATTTCTTTAGATCATCTTAGTATCTAGATGACGATTGTGGTGTCACATAACATTCTCAAGCTATCACTAATTTACAGTACCTACCTACATATTCTATAGCCAGTATCTAAGTATTTCTAAGTTCCGGCTCTCACAAAGGTTGGACTGGGGAAAATGTTTGCGGTTTGTACTTACCTTTAGTAGGAAAATTATTAATTAATTCCATATAGAAATTTGGAGAAAGATTATTGAATCATCTACAACGCAAAGCAGAATTGTGCGTAATGATAAATTAATATATCAATTTTATTGGTACAGAGGCCACTAAATAGCTTGTGAATAAATATTGCACCGACCTTAGATATCACGTTTATGTTCTAAAAAAGTGTGGTATTTGTATACCCTGTTCTCTACCTCAGGGACCACGAAACAGCAATAGATGTGATTCCCAAAACATGATAAAGATGCTGTTGAACCTTTTTAAGTCACCATCGCATTCCAGATACGAGTCAAAACTTGAAAAGGAATTGAGGGAAGCTAAACGGCCGGAACTCCGTCGTACATTTGGTTATGCGGAGACCCCACTGAAACCGCCGACAGAGTTTTTAAAAAAGGGCGAAGGTATAGGCCAACCTGTTAAAAAAACTGATCACAAATGCTTCGTGTCTGGCAATCTTCCACCGGTGCCGAAACGACCACCGCCTACGAAGAAACAAGACAAGCCAGCAGTTAATTTCAAAGTTATTAATATAAAGAAAGCCATAAAAACTAAGGGGAAGCCTGTGGAACCCAGGTAAGTATAGTGTCGTAATAACTCATATTGACTTATACTTGTGAGATCGAGATATTACTAACCCGATCATACCGATCTCAATTCGATCAATTTATAACAAGGCTTACATTGTTATAAACTGATGTGGCCAAGAAGAACTTAACTAAAACAGGCTCTTAACATCCAGGTACTGTTTATCTTTACAGGCTGGTAGATACGAGAGATGGTCACATAAAGAAGATTAAAGGTTCCGGGGAAGTTCCAGAATTCTGTCTCAGACCAGACTTTGGACAAACGCCAGCATACCTTATAAAAAGAAATAGAAAAATTCAGAAAGCCCTCGAAAAAATGAAGTACGCCGAAGAGCACAAAGAAAGTTTATGCAAGCTCATCACTGCTGAAGAACGTCAAAAACTGCTCGATGTAAGAAATCAACTTCATTTAAGTTTATTTTTATTGTTGCTTCTTACGATTTTCGAAACGGATACCTTATTCTCCTGTTTAAAGCACTTGATAAATTAAGGTATATGTAAATTAAAATACAATAAAAATGTAACTAGTGTCGTGCAACGTATCGTGGGTTCGATTCCCGCTCGGAACAATTCTTCGTGCAATCCTGAAGTTGTGGTTCCGGGTCTGAGTGTAATGTTTATGTATATACACAGGCGAAAAATTATATTATTGGGCAAAATTAACAAAAGTAAAAAAACGACCTGTTTTTATTACATCCGAGATGGATGTAAAAAGCATTGACTGCACTTCTAAGCGGTAGTTGTGCAGCCGTACGCTTCTGTGCGTCATATGACACCATAATCGGATATTATTATGATTTCTTCATGGACCATTTCTCTGCTATTTCTTACAATGTTGCACTGTTCACTTCACAGGATCTCAAACACAATTGGTCGCTGATGCAGAAGGCGTTCCTTCAACTACCGATGCTCACGGATACGATACCCAAGATCCTTCGGAAGACTAAAATGGAGGCAGAGTTGAGGCAATTGGAAAAAGACATAGCTTTAGTTGAGAGCAATCCTTACATTTATATCTACGAATAAGATTTGAACAACTAACTCGTTATTGCAACTCAGAATGTGATTTAGAAGACGGCCATGATTCTAGAAAGTTCGAAGTGAATAATAATAGGTATACGGAGGTACCTATGAAATAGCCGTTATTTAAAACGTCAACTTTGAAGTATATTGGATTAACTTTTTTTGTAATTCAAATTTGTTTTTTATAAATTAGGTTTCTTTATGTTTTGTATTTTCTCCAATATCTCAGTATCCACTTACTTACATTCATGAGAGCTCAAAAAACGCGTTTGTTCATGTTACCAGACTGATTTGAATAAGACATTTTGAAGTCCTTGGCAGTCTAGAGCTATACCTACCTAACACTTTTAATCGTGGCAACGACTTAGGTACTCATGAATTGACTCATCACATAACAATATTTAAATGTGCACTGAGACATACTGATCTTATATGATACCTATACAAACTTCAAACGTTGGTACGTCAAATCTTTAAAATTGGCGTTTTGAAACACAGCTATTTAATAAATACTGACAAATCTATTATTGTTATAAGGTTTAGTAATATCTCTCCTTCACTTAATCAACTAAAGTGGTCGCATAATTATTTTTTATATAAAATCTTTATGAACTTAGAGAAGAAATGTAATACCTACTGTTCATTAATACGGTAGTTTCCAACTAGTCAAATTCAATACTTTTTATCTAAATGTCAAAAACGATACTTTCCTTTGAAATTTATTATAACACTGAGTTATGACGTCATTGGCTTTTTGCATCAAATAGCTTACTTATTTCTTAAAAATTACCTAATAAATATCAAAAATTAAGTGTTCGATCGATAAAAGTATAGTTGTTTTTCAATAAGTATTTTATTGTATTAAAACGTCGAATTAATTTATTATTGACCTAGGAAACTACCCAATTGTCTAATAGCACTTGAGATCCGCCTTCTTTCTAGATGGAGTGTGGTTTCCAGTTTAAATTTGTCTTATCCTATTTACATCAATGTTGTCTGCCTGTATCGATCGTACCCGTGACATTTGTGTACTTTTGTATAAATAGATACATAGGTGGTCTGAAGTTTGGAAATTTCTCTGTATTTGGGTTGAGCCTTCTCGCTTTATTTCGGTCTTGCGACCTTTAGCTAAATTTGTGCATTTTTATGAACTGTGCCACGTCAGGTTATCGGGAACTTATATTAAGGTCAGCCACATAGATGGTCGGTAGTGCTAGTGACCCAGTCAGAGTGCAAGGTTGGCGCGGTAGTTGGGCAACTGGCTGCCGTGCAACGTGTCGCGGGTTGGATTCCCGCATGAAACAACTCTTTGTGTGATCCACAAATTGTTGTTCCGGGTCTGGTCTGGGTGCAATGTGTATGTTTGTAAACGTAAGCACGGCAAGGCAACGCGCAAATTTAAAAAAAAAATACAGATATTTATAACTGACTAGCGACCCGCCCCGGCTTCGCACGGGTGCAATGCTGACACTAATTTTTCCACTATTTAATTAATGTTATTATACACATAAACCTTCCTCTTGAATCACTCTATCGATTAAAAAAAACGCATCAAAATCCGTTACATAGTTTCAAAGATTTAAGCATACAAAGGGACATAGGGACAGAGAAAGCGACTTTGTTTTATACTATGTAGTGATAACTGTGTCTGTGCATGACCTGTCGTCAGCCGGTGTCATGTTTGTGAATCGAATAACCGATACGATACGACTTTTAAACATTCAAAGAAAGAGCATACCTACCTACTCCTTATAGGACCGGTAATGCACATGACACTCCTAAGGCCAAGCTGAACGCTTACCTTTTGAAGAACCGTCTACTCATTTTCCTCCTACTCCTATAAATGTGGTGAAATAAGTTTTCCAATAATCTTATATTATGTGGCACCTTAGTTTATACAAATTACTTTTTATATCTTGTACATAGCGGCTATTCACAGTTCATGAAACATACCCTTACTCTGTTTATGTTATTTAGTTTTTAGTATCTCCATCTAAAATGAGAGCGATATCTATGTAGGCACGATTTATTGTATTATTAAATCATGTGTGGAAAGAGAATTGACTTTTAATATACATACAACAGTACCTACAAACTTTTGATTATTTAAAATTTCATTTTTGAGTAACCTTTTATAAGGGTTTCGACATTGCCGGCACTTAGTTTCTTGTAGCCCCCTTAAGTTAACAGTCATGATAACGGCAGGGCGAGGTGAACTAATCATCACCGGACTCCTGTTGGCGTCAGTCTTCCGGGCGAGAAAGAGGGATGGAGCTATAGAAGGCTGAATAGCTCCATCCCTCTTTCTCGCCCGAAAGATTCACGCTTTAACACGTCATGTTAGGCCGGTTATAGTGCTCCACCGACCGTCAGTACGTACGGTCTGTCCTGACGATACGCTTGAACCGACCGTCAGTTTCTATCATTCAGTGCTCTCCTGACCAACAAACTGACCGGACTGGTACAGTCGCACGCAATGGAACCGTTTACGAATTGTTTAGTTGCTGCTTATTATCTTCGTAGACGTTTTAAGAATAGAAGAAGACGTAGATATCATGTACACCCTATCGTCGCCCAAAGAACATTACGAGGGGAATTCACTACTATATATTCATTATTGCGCGAAGATGAAGAAAAGTTTTTTAATTACTTCAGAATGTCGATCAAAAGTTTTGATGAATTATCAGCGAAGTTACAAGACTACTTAAAACATGTAAACTTATTTCGAGCTCCTGTATCACCGGTGGAAAGACTTGCAGTCACTTTAAGGTATGTAACTATGTCTATATTACAGATTACAAAAATGTAGATATCAATTTAAATATATTAATCCCATTCCACTAATTACTAACCCTATTAATCCCATCCCACTAGTATGATAGAGATATATGAGACTCAATAACAAAATAATGTTTAAAATAATCATGATTTTAAAATACCTTAATTACAAAAAAATCACAGTTTCTTATTTAACTATTATTATTTAAAAATAAAAATTCAGTTTTGTTTAAATACAACAAGGTCAGAAAAATCTGTTTGCTCTACGTTGGAATTGGAAACCATAACAGGCAGCATGTTAGGATAAATATTTGTGAGAAGCTGTTCCGATTCTTGTGCAGTAATATTGTTTGATGTTTGTGAATGAGATGAATAGGACTCTGGTGACGTGACGAAGTATGTCGTACTGGAAGACTGGGACTGGGGACGACTAAGAGCATTGTCACCATCATGAATCTTCGTAGCTATTTTTAGTACTTCAGAACGAAAAGTCAACTTTTGACTAATAGAAAATGAGTTAGTAATTGGTAACAGCGATGTGAAAAATGCCATGTCATCATTTTGTAGTATTGTACTATTCTCTTTAAACATTTGCAGCATCTGTTTGTCAAATTCAAATTCTTCTTTATTTATAGACCTTTTAGATTTTGTAATTCGTCTATTTTTTTTATTTTGACTTGTCTGGGATGCAGGCTCAGTATTTTTTTGTTCGAAAACTCTAGTGTCAAAAATAGTGCTTGTCGAAGGTTGTGGCTCGGGCTGGGGCTCGGGCTCAGGCTCAAAGTCGGGCACCGAAATATTTGTCTGGGAATCATCTGCCATTAGGGAGTCCTCGACTTGGACTGTGTGTTTCTTGTCGAGAAATCTCATATGATCGTAATATATATACTTTTTTTTTATCGCTCCGCCGCCAGATCCGGACTTCGTATTAATAATTGCAGCTTTAGACCTTGTATACGCATCCCGAGCTGTTCTCCATCTCTGTTGTATAGTTTTATCTGTAACATAAAAGTAACTAAGCTTATTTCTTTCTTTCAGGTACTTAGCTACTGGTCATACATTCACAGACTTGCATTACAGTTATCGTCTTGGGGTGTCAACAATCAGTTTTATCGTTAAGGAGGTGTGCAAAACAATATGGGAGATTCTTCGTGAAGAATGTCTTATGTTGCCAACATCGCCTGAGGGGTGGCTTCATATCATCAATGAATTTAACGAAATAGCAAACTTTCCAAATTGTGTTGGATGTATAGATGGCAAACATGTGAGAATAATCAATCCTGAACACAGTGGAAGTATTTATTCCAATTACAAGAAATTTTTTTCAGTTGTTTTACTTGCTATATGTGATTGTAACTATCGTTTTATATACATTAACGTCGGTTCATGTGGAACCGACTCTGATTCTACCATATTCAAAAACAGTAATTTGTTTCAAAAACTACAAAACGAAGAAATGTGTTTTCCTCCCCCCAAACCATTGCCCCATACGACCGAACCACTGCCATACGTTATTGTCGGGGATGCGGCATTCGGTATTTCAAAACAAGTGTTACGACCTTATGGACGTAGTAACATGACTTACAAAAAGAAAATATTAAACTACAGACTTAGTCGTGCAAGGAGATATATCGAATCTACATTCGGCATAATGAGTAACAAATTCAGAATATTCCACAGACCTATGAACACTTCCTTGGAAAACACAATTACAATCATCAAAGCTTGTTGTATTTTACATAATTACATCAGAGAACGAGATGGTTACAAAATAGAGGATACATTAACAATTGCAGGATTTGAACCGCTTACCCACGGCAGTGACAGTCAAAGACATAATATCAGATCAGGGGACATGTTGAGAGAAAAGTTTGCTAATTATTTTATATCTCCAGAGGGTGCTGTGTCTTGGCAAAATAATAGTATTTTTTAAATTATTTGTATGTCTCGAAATAAATAAATAAAGATGAAGATAGTTTGTTTATTACTTACCTATATCTTTTTGTTCGGTAAGAGTCATTTCATCGAAATTAGGAAACAATGCTTCACACACTTCTTGCCAAGCCTTTAACTTTGCATCACGGTCTTTATACAAAACGTGGCTTATGTTCCAGAGTGGTTCACAAAGCCGAACTTCGGTGATTAATCGTTCGGTGTCGATAAATTTGTTCATTTTGAGTACCTACGAAATAATTTCTCGTCGACGATGATACGCACATCCGTGC